ACACACACACACACACACACACACACACCTGACTCACTCATCACCACACCTAGAAAAGACTTAAGATGTCCTGAGGATTATTGAATGAAAGGGTCTGCCTGGCAAAGCCTGGAGGCTCTCAGGTCTGATCCTGAGACTTCTTTTAATTGCCATTGGCTTATTTTAGAGTCTTGTTATATATGGCTCCCCGTATATTTTCTCCTCTGTTTAACTTAATTTATCAGCCCCTGAGTTACTGCTGTGAGGTGCAGAGTACACCACACATATTATACAGCTAGAAAAGGTCAGTTGTAAGAGGGGTGTTCAGTTCCTCCTCTGGCCACAAGAGGGCAGAGTTGAGTAACTCAGAGATTCTTTTCTGTTTGTGAAAAGAAGGAGAGGGTGTTTTCATAGCCCGGTCCTATAGTGCCATCTAATGGCTCAACACGGGCTAACCTTTTGTGGACACACTTTCTTGTAAAGGGACAATAGAACAGCTCATTGTAAAAAGAACAAACATTTTATATTGAATTGTCATTTGTTGGAAGGGGAAACATTTTGTACATATATCTAAATCTAAATATGCAAATCTATATACCGGGACATATATATTTATATGTATATCATATACATATATTTGCATATGTGCAAACATATGAATGAGAAGATGAAAGCAGTAATTTGAAAGAAATCACCTTCCCTAGTGACAGTTTGATTAATGGGAATGGTTCCCTTGAGATTAATCAACTAGATACATGTAATTAGAGCCATCTGAGGAAACTCCACTAATAAATGAATCTGTCAGACCTTATCTGACCGTGGGCTGCCTGGACACATAGAGTTTATTATCTCATTCCGTGGATGCCAGTAGTGTGGAGGGATGCCACCGTGGTGCAGATGACAGCGTTTGTTTTCATTGGCAGTTTATTGTCCTGGATGAGGCTGAAATGAGGTGCCATCAAAAATGACCACAAACCCTTTTATTCAATTCTGAATTCTGCTGCTTTGCCTGCTTTTGATCTTTACAGTTGTGGTCGATAAATTTCGGAATAGCCGTATAACTTGGAGGCTGGATATAGATGCAATGAACTGAGATGGAAGTGAGATATGAACTGTAAAATGCTTTTTCTGGTATTATATTGTTTGGCCGCCTTCCCATGGAGTCCATTCTTCTGCATGATTATGCATAAATATGCTGAAAGAAAATGTGGAATGTGGATTTAAAGCTCCTGGGGTCATGATTTAAAATCTCCGAGACCCGACATGCTCCCAACTTTCACAACCCTCTCATCTTTCAGCATAAATCACTTCAAGATGTCTCCCAATCAGAGCCAATTAGGGCTAGTTACACGCCTGTACAATATGCCCTTCTTGAAAACAATGAAAAGGAAGGACATAAAGAAGCCGAGAACAAAGAGGACATAACAGATTCTATCTGAAGACATGTCTGGTAGGACAATGAAAGCTGATGTTTCAGTATTCTCCCTTGACTGGATGTAAAAAAAAAAAAGTGGCTGCCGTGTTGACATCTTTCCAGTTTCTCTGCGTATAAGTTCAAGAATGCGGGATTCTTACGCTCACAGAGGAGTTTTATGGTTTTGTGCATTGGGCTAGGTCGTGGAGGACCACTAGCCAGACTTCGTGAACAATAGGAGGAGGCTGTCCTCAGACGGGAGTGCTAAAAAAGAACATCTGCATGGGATCAAGACTACAGAGATTAAGAAGGACAGTCAAGGGAGGAGGGGAGTGATTTTGGTGGAAAAAACTGTGCAGAAACACAGAAGTGATAGTAAAGAGGTCATATCCACAGCCAAGAAGGAATACGCCTTATTTTTTTTATGTAATCCCAATAGCTCATAATTCTTTTTGTCTATTGGTTTGTCTTCAGGATTAAAACAAAAATGCAAAAGCTACAAAATGTTTTATTAAAGTTCAGCCACACTGGGATTAGTGTTGTCAAACTTTCTCTTTTGACAGTTTGGGAAAAATAGGAAATCCTTTTGTTTTTGTCCCCCTGAACATGGCATATCAAAGAAGACTGATGGGTTCCGTTTCCCGCCCGCTCTGGGAGTCGTCTTACCTCAGGATGTGTTACCGGCAGGGGGGCATTTTACACGCATGTTGCAGGGTTCCCATGACGATGACACTATCCAGAGGGCACCGTTACCTAAAAGACTTTTCTTTTTTACGCAACCAGAAGACATCTAAGCAAAAAAAAACACATGTCCACTGTCCAACCAATCAAACAGTCAAAGGAAATGAGTGGGACAACTCATCTGTAGTGAACAAATCAGAGTGTGAAATGCTTTTTTCTGCCTTAATGTCAAGAATTTTAACACGGCCTTCTGTCGGGATGAGCTCAGTCTCTTGTGACAGTTTAAGGCCGCAGTTTTTGGCCCTTCTCTGCTCACTTTTCACCCACAAACTGCTCAACTCTGATTGCTCTGAACCCTGGATTACCTCTTTATTTGGTGGAGTAAGTGAAGAGAGATTTATCCACTATACCAAGCTAAGTACAATGGTTTTTCAGGAAGTTTCGTGTTTTTTTTCTTTTAAAAAGCCCCCCCGAGCATTCGGTTCTGGCTGTTGCACCTAAATGAATTGCTGCCTTCCTGTGTTGCATTTGTAGCTCACCTCCGTTGATGAGACATGTCCATCTGGTGCCGAACGGGAACATATAACCAGGAAACATTTGGCAAAGTCGCTCCTATTTCACACACCCTTATGTAACGGATACTGATAGCAGGCTATCCACATAGCATTACATTTCCCTGTTTGTCATCACTGAGTTTGTTCTCCAGCAGTTCAGGCCTGTGCGTGGTGTGTGAGGAGAAAAACAGGAAACATCAGCCAGATTTAGAGCGGCGATAGATGGACTCGACTGGGAATTATTGACACTGTCATACAAAACTACTCTTTGTTTCCTGAACTCTGGTGTTAAAGCTCCCCAAACTCTCCTCGGTGACTCTGCCCCTCGGATTCCCTAATTGCAAAAAAGACAAGTCCCATCAGTAAAAGGCAAAGCCGGAAAGCCTATCAGCTCCCAGGAATTTTTATCACTATCTTTTACAGCTGCCCTCCCTGTGACCTCAAAACAAGTTGACAGCACATAGTCGTACTCTCGTTAGCTTTACCCATGCTGTCACAATAACAAAAAACCTATATCCAAAAATAGAGGAATAAAACAATATCTAATGGAAGGATATTGGTTTAGGTTTTAAGAAGCTGGAAATTGGAAAATTCAGTTTCAAGGGTTACCCTTTAAATTATGACGCACGTTCTCTAAAGAACTGAAAAATATTTTATAAATGCCATACATTTTATTGATTCCATTGTGCAGTTTGTTTTTTAAGCAGTTATTGTCTAATATCAGAAGCTGGAATAGATATTCCCGTATACAGCAGAAATCAAACCTACCCCAGTGTTGGTGGATTTTGTGGTAATTTTTGTGTAAAGCTAAACTGAAACACAGAGCTCAAGTTCTTGTATCAGCCTCTTAGATCTTAGATCCTCTGCTGACTCACCGGCTCGAAGTTACCAAAAGGTACCTGGATTGTGTTACCGGATGATGGTTTATTCTGTGCTAAAATAAATAAAAAAACTGAACTAAACGTGTCCCAGAGGGCCAGAGTGGCTGCAGCCATGTGCTGATCCTCGTGATGTCCCGGCCATAACCCCCCCCCCCACGCACTACACAGAGATTCTTTGTGCATTTAAATAAAGATAGTCCACATTTAAGATAGGAAAGGTTAAAGCAGAGGGGAGGACAGAAGAAAAGAAGATATAAGCAGAATCTATGTGTCTATCTGCATGAATGGTCTGTCCATTAGACGAGAGGCTCCACTTTGGTGGGGGGGGGGGGCGGTCAATTTCCTTATAGGGAAGTCAGACTCTTGAAAAGTCAGACTCTTGAGCAGCAAATCACCACACACGCTTAGCAGTTTAGTCAAAGGGTAAAGTTATAAATTTACCAGCTTTCCTCTCTTATCTTTACAAATTTGGGATCACTCAACACAAGGGAAGAGTAAGCTCACAATCTGAGAAATTTGTCCCGTTACTTGGGCAAAAGTATATTCAAACATCGGATTTAAACTCCGGAGTACTTTTCATCCCCGATCAAAAACAACCAAGCTCCGTAACCACGGCTCCACTGTTAAGAACTTCTGTCGTGATTCCACGCGTGTTTGTCAAAGCATCTGGCCTGAAAAACCTTACTGTACAAACATTCTCAGTTCCTCCCCGTATGGTTGCTTTGTTTGCCGAGCGAGTCTCCAGGCAGGCCTCAGAAAACCCGGCCATGGGACTGGTGCTTCCAGATGTGGAGGGCCTGGATCTTGTGAAACAACATGTGTCCCTGTGAGCGTGCCCAGTCGACGCCCCTAAACGCAGTCCAGCTACGTGCAACACACCCCGGGACAACATCTTGCCGTTTTTCTGCTGATACCACATGTGTGATCCGTCCATGAGGTCAGGAGATGGGCGTCGCAGCGTGTGTTTGAGTGCGTTTACTAGGAGAGTTTGTGTGTGCTTGCGCTGCTCAATGGATGACTCACGATTGGCCACCTGCCCTCTGTCCAGGGACGCACAAAAAACCGCGGCCAAGCGCCGTGTGACGCAATGAGCTTTCACTGGCCTCTCAACTACACAACGGCACAACATTTTGGAGCAAAGGGGGGAACTCGTGCTGTTTATTCTATTCAAATATAAAAACAGTCTAGAATGAGATGAGATTACCAAAGAAAATCTTTTGTAAATGTTGTCAAAGTAAGAGCAAAGCCATTTGTGACCTGGACAAATTAAAGATGGGAATGTCTCCATGTAAAATGTGTGATGTATACCCTCAGGGAACAGAACTAAAACAAACTAAACAAAACGAAAAGACAAATAAAAAAAAGCTAAGCCGTTAAACCTGCGAAACACAGCCGAGGGAGCAGGAGGAAGCGAGGGCGTCTGCTTTGGGGGAAAAATGGGTTAGCAGGAGGCGGTTAGAAAAAAGGGGGAGTGGAAAGAGCGGAGAGAGGCTGAGGGAGCGGGGTCGTATAAAGACACGCTCGACACAAGCCGGGCTTTATCCTCCCCTGTCTGTCGCGCTCACTCAGACCTCACAGGAAACCTGCAGCTCCCCCCCGACCCGCCGGCTCGCCCTCCAGCTCCCCCAAAACTTTCACACACAAGTTCCCGCCGTCTCAGCGGAGAGGATGGCTGCATCCGGGAGGAGAATGAATGGGCTCTGCAGGAGCATGGCCGGGGCTCTGCTGCTCTGCACTCTGTTGCTCAACAGTGAGTACGCTTCCAGCCATTTCTGCACGCTTCTTTATATTGCATGAGAATTTAAATTCTTTAACATTTTTTTTTTTTTTTTTTACTTTTTTAAAACTTCCCCAAATTGCAGGATAGTGAGGAGCACTTCAGTTATCTACCACTCTTGTAGGAGCTCTGGCTTTGATGTGCTTGTGCACAGATGCATAGAAGCATGCTCGGTGGTTAGGCCGCCTGCACACACAAAGGATCTGCTCAGTTGTGGATACTTCATCATGTTCTGTATTTTGTTGTGCATGCGAGAATGCATCACGCAAAAAAAATGTACATATAGAATGCTTATTTCATACTTTCTGCATAGTTCGATGAGTGTTATGCCTAGTTTTGTAGACTGAACCACCAAAATATTTCATGTGAGTGTGAGCGTTTGGGGGCTACATGTCACAGTTTGACCACAGAGCACATGTGGATTCAACACAGCGTCTGTGTGTGTGAGTGTGTGTGTGTGTGTCTGAGGCCTGATGTTAATTGCAGGGTGATGTATGGCTGGGATGGCGTTCCCGCCTCAACAGTAGTAAAGTGGGACTGGTTGTAGTTCGGCCTGTCGTAACGACTTGTGCAGAGCGTCCGCGGGCACATGGGCCGTAAACGCTCAAACTGACCCTGGGAGCACGAGGAGGAGTGTCCGGGCAGATGGAAATATCCGACGGTTTACTTTTAAAAGGGAAAAGATCATGAGAGGGCAGAACATGTTCCCGGTTCGTGCAGTAAAAATGGCATACCGCAAACCCTCTGCACCAACCGCTTACAGATGGTAATTAGATTTACATGAAAATCTAATTACTTTGGGTGCTCCCCTTCAAGTCGAGGCACTTCGGCATTTATGCAGCCGATTATCACAAACTGGCCTCAAACGGCCTCATCACTCATACAGCTTACTACTCCTTCTTAGCCTAATTTGTATAGGGGGAAAAAGGATTAATAAGACTGCCTCAAAAGTTCTTTAAGCAACAAAAAAACTCTGAAATAAAGTATGGGAAGAGTAAATCAGAAATTTTAAAGAATAGACAATACAGATTGTACTTCACTCATTGATTTCTTTTATCATATACTAAATATTATATATATACACATATAGACATACATATATTCATCATTTTCCATGACTATGCATGACCACACTGCAGGTTTGCCATTATGAAAAAATGCCAATCACCTCCATAAAACTTAATGACAGCTACCAAACAATTCATCATGCTGGTTGGAAAACAGCTATTTTAGTCTGCTTCAGTTAACTTTAAAACCAGGACACCCATTGTCTATTGTACAAATTGCATCCTACCAGCCACAGTTTGGTGCTGACATCAACTAAACTTTGCACATATCCTCAGGGACCCCTCACATGTTTACACATTAAGGGACAATAAATACGAGTTTGATATTTCATAAGCATCTGTAATTATATATATAATACAGTTTAAAACAATATATGTACAGTCACATTGAATCCTCTGTGATAAGTTTACTTGTAGTATCTTTCACTGCTCTTCAGGAATAGTTCTCCAGGTTTCTTGAAAGACATTCTAAAGGTCTTTGCTCTTTTGAGCTCTGATCTTTGCTGTTTCCTTGTCCGCTAGTCCACTTCTTGTGTTATTTGGCACACTTCCTCCTTTTCTCCTTGTTTCCTTTGCTTAAGAATGACTTCTTGGCAGCAGAAGATTCAACCGGCAGTCCAGATGCATCTCTCAGGTGCCGTATCAGGTGTTTGCCGGATTTTTCCGATTTCTTCACAACTTCTCAATCAGATATCGTTTATCCGCCTGAAGAAGTGATGACAAATATCGTCACTTCTTCTTTTGTCCTTCACTTATGCCAGTTCCTTGTTCTTTTTTTACTGGATACTGCACACGACGTTGAGACATACCATGATTTTTCTGACGGCTACATTAGAATAACCTGATTCATGCAACCATAACCCTTGAACTTTTGGAATGGGAACAAATCATATGTTTCTGTGACAGGCTGTTGGCAACTAAGCACCAAAAGATGCAGTTTGTTTTTGGTATTGTTTTCTTACTAAAGCGTTTATTGTTTGTAGGAACACCACTGGTTAATCCCTTTAGCTAAGAGAGTTTTTATGCCTTAATGATTCATTGGTCAGTGTTGAGCGCCTTTAGAAACAAGTGAACACCTTCCTCTGTAAACGGTCAGATAGTTGGACTAGACATAAGTGAAAATAAGTCAAAAATTTCTGAAAGACCTTAAGAAACTATAATCAAGACCCCTTTGAACGATAACAGACACATTTTGGAGACAAAGTGTAAAAAGGTTATAAATGTTTTTGCATATAAGGTTTTTATAAAATTGGCTTTTTTGGGGGGTGCCATAAGAAACAGATGGTTTAGCAGACACCCCGTGGACAGAAGCAATCATTCTACTGCATTTCTGCCTCCACTCTTCTGCACTTCTTGTTAGAAAAGTATAGAAAAATATTGTTGAAGGCTATGACAAAGATGTTAAGGGGCCCTGAGCTCTTCACCACGCCCAGCAGGAGACCTGCAACACACACCTCATCCACTGCTGGCTCCGGTGGATGACTGACACTGTGACCTGGCTTCCAGAAGGCATAGCCAAAAAATGTGTTTCCAGACTGGTACTGGGACGCTTTATATCTGTCCCACCAGCCATAAAAGTCTGTGTTGATGATCTGCACGCTTGGGGTTGCTACTTGGGTAATTTTCTGGATACAGTTTGTGCAGCCCGACGTCAACAAGTCAAGTCACAAGAGACATCTGCTGCCTTATTGATTGCTTTTCACAATAAGCCCTGTGTGGCTGCTATGGTGTCACATATGGGTCAGATGAGCGGTCTGATGATGTCAATAGTCATTTGCAAACAGAAAGATTGAATGTTTCGTGCTCCTTTGTGGTTGTTTTGATCTATGTGAAGAAGAGCCTTTTTTCAAACCGCACTATTAAATGTAGATTGTGCCCCATTGCCCATCCGGCGGTGTGTGAAACTGTCATGGATCAATCTGCACAAATCAAAAGATTCGGCAGCAGTAAAAGAACAGTAAAGTCACCTATAAAAAGTCCATTAAATTCAGTTTTCTACTCTCCTACTTATGTTGGGTAGTGTGCATTACTGCCTGGGCATTTCTCTTTCATGTAGAATAAACACAGATGAAGCAAATACGGCTTATTACCAATGGAATAGCAAAAAAAAGGCTCAAAGTGCTATGGTCAAACAAGCTAGTCAGTGTGTCATCAAAACAACAAATCCGGTACTGTTCGCCTGCACACAAATGTGGTCCAAAAGGGAAAACCCATCATGGGGAACGGCGGAGGCGCTGAAGCTGGAACAGATGTGCAGCTGAAGCATCTCACAGTCTGAAGGGTCAAAGGTTAAGCAGCCCTCAGGGAACTTTCGCAGCATCTGAATGGACGAGACTTCAGCCTCACTGTCAATCGAGGTTTGTCTGAATTCTGCGACCGGGAGAAGCCAGAACAGGTCTGTGTCTGTCTTTTCGAGATGCGAGGGATGAGAAAATTGGCATTAGCCAATGGTAGCTCCAGCAAGGTGATGGACTTATTAGGCATAGTTCCTGCAACAGGTCCCATTTTTGTGTTGTTGCTTTAGTAAGGTGAACCGTTCTCCCTGAAATCTTCCATTGGCTAAATTAAAAAAGAGTAATAGGACCTACAGACATTCTAACTGAGTACATTTTTCAGTTTTAGGGGCCCCATTGGTCAATGTTGTCCAGGACTCATGCAGTGGACCAGTAGCCTGTAAGACAAAGTTACCTAAGTTTCTTGCCTAATTTTGCCTAATTTGTAGTGTTGTAGACTGCAATTGAGACATCTTTTCCACATGAAAGCAGGTCAATCATTCTGACACGCCGGCCAGCACATTGGGTTTAAATTCCAACTTCCCATGGCTGTCATTCAGTAGTTAGGCAGGCCTGCAAATATGCAGCTCTGCAATGGGTGATGTCATTCAACGCCTCTTAGAGTATATTATAGGCTGTCTCCCTCTCAAGATTTCAGGGGAAAACCCAAAGCTTTAAATCTGCTCCGGCAAATGGGGAAGGGAGGGGGGGCAAAACATCTTGTCTCACTTATTTCAGCTTGTCATCCACAATGACTCCTCCTGTTGCCAGATCAGAGCCCCGGGCACTGTCGCATAAGCCCTTACAACTGCTGTTTGAAAAGACCACATTAAACAAAGACTTTTTTTTTCCCCATGGTGGGAAGACTCAAGAGTTTTTGGCGCGTACGATTGCAAAACTGTCAAAGCCTGATAGAGTTTTGCGTCATAAATGGAGCTTGACTGACTGGAGTAGAACTTACACTTACAATTCCGAAAATTTCAAACTGGAAAGTCTGCAGGGAGGGCGTAAGGAAGCGGCGATAAGCTGCTGTGCACACATGGCTGAAACTTTGCGTCTCAGGTAGCAACCTCATAATGCCAAAGAAAACACGGACAGAATATTGCTACTATCTTTCTCAAGGCCCCCAGCTATTGACTGGCATTCTTTCCATCCCAAGTTGGGATGCTGAACCTTGAGTCACGTCATCTGCTGGAGGGTGGAGGTCTTTTTTATGTAAGCCTTGGCAGATAGTGGTCTTATGTCAGGCTAGGGTGTGTGTCCACTTGGGTCCAAAGTAATGGCTGGGAAGCGACGTACGCAAGCAATGTAATTAACCCCAGAGCCCGCATGGAGCCACCATTTACTCCAGTGAGTTGTGCGTGTGAAAGGCCGGTCATTTAGCTTAAACCAGACCATTCAATCACAACAGGGGAAAGGTAAAGTGCACATAAAAATGTGTTTTCTTTTTTTTCGAGTTATCTCCATCCAACGCCAACCCCGTTCCAAAGAAAACACATTCATGTTGAGAAAACAAAGAAGCCCTTCCACTACTGACTGAATCACCATCTAGGAAAAGAGGTTTGACTCGTGGAGTAGATTGTCATGACACAATATTTACCTAGCTGAAAAAAAAGAAATCCTAATGAAAAGC